TGGATTTATTTATCGCAAAAATTTACAAAGTTAATATATAGCAAAAAAAAAGAAGGAATATCATTATGTAAATTTTCAGCTAAGTTAGATAAATCATTATGCCTTTTCTTCATAATTATTTTATTTAGTTCCATGATTTCACGAAATTCCGTAATGTTTATACTAAAAAAATCGACTTATACAATTAATCTCATAATCCAAGTATAAATTAATGTTGAGCCATTTCTTGGCAAATTAAACAGTGTGTACTCTGTAATTTTGCTCAAGCATCTTTACCGCATCTCTGCATATTTAATTAATATCACTAATCGTCATTTAGTATTTCCGTAAGACCATGTGCGCACCCTTAATTAACTAAAGCATACAATTCACACGCAAACCAAACAGGTTGGTTAAACTGTATAATAGCAATGTGGTATCACTAATTAGGGACTCCACTTCTTCTAGAATGCTTCCACACCACTTCTTTCACTTAATAAGTATTTTTAAATCCTAGTCAAATTTTAATTACTTATTTAGAAAATTAAGAAAACTTAAAAACTAAATATATGATTCAAGAATGTTTAATTTTTGTCTCTATCATAAACTTGCCTAGTTTATAAGGTAAATATTTTAAAGAAAAATTAGTATATATAGTATAGAAATTGAACTTATTATAAATTAAAACATTAGGTATAGACGGTAACCTAAATGCTATAAAAACTACAATTTAACCTCTATATTTAGCCATTTTGTTAAAATATTAGATTACACATACAGTATATATATTTATACATACATAGACATATATTTAATTTATTTGTTTGTTTTATCACCTAATACAACTATTAAACTACAATTTCTGGCTTGCGTCAATATTTCAATATACAAATAGTTATAAAAAGTGGCTATAAATAACTAAGTAACCCATATGCAACGACCATAGAAACACATCACAAAAACAAAAACAAATAGCTAACTGAAGAAGAAGAAGCAGTAGTGATGCATATCGCAAAACCACACGCCGCCATGTTTTCCAGCCCCGGAATGGGCCATGTCATCCCGGTGATCGAGCTCGCTAAGCGTCTCTCCGCTAATCACGGCTTCCACGTCACCGTCTTCGTCCTCGAAACCGACGCAGCCTCCGCTCAGTCCAAGTTCCTAAACTCAACCGGCGTCGACATCGTCAACCTTCCATCGCCGGACATTTCTGGTTTGGTGGACCCCGACGACCATGTGGTGACCAAGATCGGAGTCATTATGCGTGAAGCAGTTCCAGCCCTCCGATCCAAGATCGCTTCCATGCATCAAAAGCCAACGGCTCTGATCATTGACTTGTTTGGCACAGATGCGTTATGTCTCGGAACAGAATTAAACATGTTGACTTATTTGTTCATTGCTTCCAACGCGCGTTATCTCGGAGTTTCGATATATTATCCAACTTTGGACAAAGATATCAAAGAAGAGCACACCGTGCAAAGAAAACCGCTCGCTGTACCGGGGTGCGAACCGGTGAAATTCGAAGATACTATGGATGCATATCTGGTTCCGGACGAACCGGTGTACCGGGATTTGGTTCGTCACTGTCTGGCTTACCCAAAGGCTGATGGAATTTTGGTGAATACATGGGAAGAGATGGAGCCCAAATCATTGAAGTCCCTTCAAGACCCAAAGCTTTTGGGCCGGGTCGCTCGTGTACCGGTTTATCCGGTCGGTCCGTTATGCAGACCAATACAATCATCCAAGACCGATCACCCGGTTTTTGATTGGCTAAACGAACAACCAAACGAGTCCGTTCTCTACATCTCCTTCGGGAGTGGTGGTTCTCTAACGGCTAAACAGTTAACTGAATTGGCGTGGGGGCTCGAGCATAGCCAGCAACGGTTCGTGTGGGTGGTTCGACCACCGGTCGACGGCTCGTCTTGCAGTGAGTATTTCTCGGCTAACGGCGGTGAAACCAAAGACAACACACCAGAGTATCTACCGGAAGGGTTCGTGACTCGTACTTGCGATAGAGGTTTTGTGATCCCATCATGGGCACCGCAAGCTGAAATCCTGGCCCATCAGGCCGTTGGTGGGTTTTTGACCCATTGTGGTTGGAGCTCGACGTTGGAAAGCGTCCTTGGCGGCGTTCCGATGATCGCGTGGCCGCTTTTCGCCGAGCAGAATATGAATGCGGCGTTGCTTAGCGACGAACTGGGAATCGCCGTCAGAGTGGATGATCCAAAGGAGGCGATTTCTAGGTCGAAGATTGAGGCGATGGTGAGGAAGGTTATGGCTGAGAAGGAAGGTGAGGAGATGAGAAGGAAAGTGAAGAAGTTGAGAGACACGGCGGAGATGTCACTGAGCATTGACGGTGGTGGTTCGGCGCACGAGTCGCTTTGCAGAGTCACGAAGGAGTGTCAACGGTTTTTGGAACGTGTCAGGGAATTGGCACGTGGTGCTTAGAAATGGTTACCGTTTTGTACCTCTTGGTGGATGAATTACGTGTCGTTTCTTAACTAGTGTATTTTCCATTGTAATAGAATAATCGATGTTGTGTAATAAAATGATGTTTTTGATATTTCTCAACTAATTTTCCAATGTAATATTGAATAATCGGTGTTGTTGTAATGGAAACAAAAAAAACATTTTGTACAATATTAATCAATATTAGACTACAGAAAAAAACTATGTTACAACTTAATCACAAGACAAATAAATTAGTCTTCTTTCTATAAACCGGTGTTCCGAATGCAAGACTTGATCCTACTCTCCGAAAACATGATTATGGGTTTGATCAGTTGAACGACCGACTCGGGGAAAAGATGAGATAAAATATTGATGTGAAAGAAAAAGCAAAAAAGACGAGACAAAATTTTCCATCGTTATATTTAAATAAGAATAAAACGACGTTAGATGATTCATAACTATTAATTAGTCAATCACAATTTAACAATCAACTCGACAACGATGTTGTAATCTGACTAATCATTTGTATTAAATCACATCTGGCTGACCTTCTAGATGCAATCATACAACAGTAATAAAATTACCCAAAAGAACGGTGTTTTGTCATATTTTATTCGGTTTTTATTTAATATAACTCACTAATTGCTTTTTATTGGAGCACAAAACCAGAAGAAACAAAAATCTACATCGTTTCGACGTGACATTTCCTCTACCTCGCTGATTTTTCTGTTACACTGGAAGCATAACTTTTAGGTATCAAATAAATTAAATTATCTTAATTTATTATGATAGATACCAGACTCACTTGGATTATTATGCACTGTCCACGATATATATAGCCAAATTTATGAGTTTTATATCAGATGCCAATTGCATGATCTGCATCATATATATTTCTCGCTATGAATATTATTTTCAGTCTGTGATTATTCGAGTTATACACTGCATCATCATCCCCGCCCGAAATTCAGGTTTATCATCTTCAAATCCAAAAGAAAATGTGTAAATTTAAATTGATAGGATAAGACTGTGTGGTTTGATATTACTAGATCGTGTATCCGCGCGTTGCGCGCACGGATTTAATTCAAAATTTTCATTTTTTGTATATAAATATAACCAATTGAATTTTAGAAGATTTTACTTTATCTATGTGCATTATATTTTTAAAGTAGTAAAAAGTTTCTCACACTTTTCACTAAATTTTATTTCGTTATCTTCTATGATTCACTCGTAGTCTCCTGACATCTACTCTTTTTTCTCCTTAGATCGTATCTATTTCTCTGGGGAGATGTTTGTCATCAGGTTTCTTCGACCAAGTTTTGGTGCATCTAAAATTGCTTCATAGACACAAAATCTCACATATGGACTCATTCCTATTCATAAACATAGGTTTCAGCGTGAAATTTTGCACTTTATCTTGACTATCTGAAAAATACACAATTCTCTTTCTACATATATAATTTAACATATATTATGATTGAAAATAGTATTCTTAATGTTGATTTTGCTAAAATGTGACACTTACGAACTTATATAAATTATTCTAATTTTAAAATTCATTTATTCAAAAAACTCTTCAATCTACCGTTACTATTCTAATTTTCAAATAGCATTCTCAGATATTATTATTACACTGTTTTATTATTCTATAAGATTAGTTTAGTTTTATTTTTGATGTTTAGGATAGTTTTTTGCTTAATTTCAAATCACCTTAGTTTTTTTTAATCTATGTTAATTTCCTAAACACTGATTAATATTTATTTTTATTTTTTAAGTATTCATTTAAAAAAGAAACAAAGAACCAGTTTTTAATTTAGAAAACATTAATAATATAGAAAAAATATTAATTTAACTATTTATATTATATTATAATGAGAAATAATAATATGTTCTCGATCCTTCATATTTTTGAATCGGTACTCAAATTTTAAATGCCTATTTTTCAGAAATGAACTTTTTATTTTAATTAAAAACCTTTAAATTTGGTATTTTTAAACTCTTATTTCTTTACTCTACTAAATAATTGTAACACTTATAAATATTTGTTGTACCACTAAAATATATGATAAGTTTCTTTTTTTACTATCTCTAACTATTTTAAAACATTTACTCATTATATATTAAAATATAATTATCTATTCAAAATTTTCAAATTTTCAGTTGTCTATTAAATTTTTTCTTTTTTCATAATATTTAATTTAATTTTTGTCAAATATTGTTTTAGTTTAATGTGTGAATTAATTTTAATTTTATAGTTTTTTGTTTTAATAAATAAAATATGTGGAACCCACAAAAAAAGAAAATATGATGACATAGATGATGATGTGGACACCCTAGATGAAGAGAGAACTCTCTAATTATATATATAGATTTACAGTTATTAAATTTGATAAAACTTATTTATTTTACAGAAATTTGATTAGATTATAGTTTCTATAATTATGAAAACTATACTTAAAAAAATTACAGTCATAAAAATAAAAATATATTTTATGTAAGAAACTAAGAGCAACAGTAAAACAAGGTCTTCATAAAGTTGATTTTTTGGTGAGAATTACTTCTAGAACTTCTAATATAAAATTTGGGTGTGACTGGTAAAGGAACGTACGGATTTTCTACATCCTTTCAAACATGATTACATGATTTCCATGGGCTTAACCCAATGGTCCATATTTGGGCCCAACTGTTGTTATCATACTTAGATCTGATCATTCTGCACGAAAATTGAAAGACATACAATTCACCTTTTTTTTTTTTCCTCTAAATTTATTATTTATTACAAATTATGAGAACTGTTACATAGATGATTCTACAACGGACAATTTCTTCCGACCTTTATTAGATCCACGACCTCTTTCACCTTCTTCACCTCCTTCACCTCCTTCTTCATGCTCATCTCCTTCACCTCTTTCTTCATGGACACTTCCTTCTCTGTGTGGAATCCAGGCGAACGGCTATAATTGTACATCGCTGGAGATCTCCTACACACTTGCCTCCAATAATCTGCAAATTTATTAATAAATTGCAGTATCTGGGACTCGAACCCAGACCTCTAGGTGTATAAGCATTAATGAACCCTTAGTCAACCAATGGACCAAGGGAGCTTCCACACAATTCACCATTTAATTATTATATTTATATTTTTTTCTTGCAGCTGCATTTGTAAATCATATTTCCCTTTACAAGATAGTTCCCCACTTCTTTTTTTGTTTTTTTTTTCTAGCCACTTCTTTGCACACAAAAGAGAAAGAAAAGGAAAGTTCCCTAAAACTTTACTTTACAGTCTAATGTAAATCGGTTCTGTTCTGTTCCAAACTGGTTACAAACCTCTATAAGAGATTGATAAACCGACTCTGTAAATTGCTATGGTTACATAATCTATTGCGCGACATAAAAATTGATCTGCCTGTGCTAACTAAAAATATTATCGGTATCGGACCACGTTATCAAACAAAGAAATACACGTAGAACTCAAATAAAGCCCACTCCAATGTTGCTGGATCTAAAACAGCTTCATTTTATTCTGACAAGGTTTCTTGGTGATAGCTAGAATCAAATGTAGCCGCCATAGCACGACAGTTGTTATTACATTATCCCCCAAGTAAAGCAATTTGTTATAAATAACAATTAAATTAAATCGTTTTTGTGAGTTTATGATTAACACTAGTTGGTTTCATGTGCTTAAAGTTGGTCCATGTACCATATTTTGTAGATACAGTTCGTAATAATGTATGTTACATATACAAGCGGACGATGGGGATCCACGTGACCTATCCATTTTCGTACGTTTTATATTGTATTTAAATGGTGAATGTTTATAATTATCATCTATATTAATATTAGAATCTTTACTGATTAATATCTTAATAACCACAAAGTAAAGAGCACTTTAATTTTTGTTAATGGTGTTTTCAGCTTTTAGCTTTACGGCAATCGACAACGTTTCAAAAAATTTGAGTTCCATTAAAATGAAAAAATGTTAGTATTATACTGAAATGTAACTTAAACAAAATATTAGTTTAGATATTGCAAATATACTAGAAGTAGAAACCGACTAATAATTCTAAGCAGTAGCCAGTAGGTTTGGCTAACTTTCAGATTTTTACTAAGACTCGGTTATTTATTTGATAATTTGGACCAATATCAGTCCAAAAAAGCATCCCTTAGGCTTTGGTTTACGAGAAATCTACAATGGGGATTACTTAATCACTAAACAACCCCCTAAATGGTGGCGTTAGTTAGGGGTCACTACTGGTCAATCTTAGCTAGTCCTCATAACAGAGGTTTAAATTAGCTATAGTGACATTCTGACATTCGAATTATTTTGTATCCATCTAAATTTATGTAGCTAATGTGTGCTGTTAGTCGTATATATAAATGTCAAAAAAGAAATAAAGTATGCTTGACAAAAAAAAAAAAATCAAAAAGTGTTATAAAATCATGATTTGGATCTAAACTAAGTCCAGCTACTTTAGTCGTTACATATCCCAAACATTGAAGATAGAATTTTAGACTGAATCTCTTGCACCATATTTTGGATTTAGGATAAGTTGTCCATTTTCTGCAGTAGCAAAGACTCTTCTTACTCCTAAAGTTTATTATTGCTAATCAGGCGCCAGCCCAGTCAGAATATAATACGATAATTAGAGTACGAATTTGTTGATTAATTAAAGTAAGCAAAAACGTATGGAATCTTTCTACCCAATTATCTATCTGTTAACGCGAAGCACTTGGAGAGTTGGAAGTAGGGGAAACAAGGAAGGCAGATGTTGGGATAAACATGACATTTAATTCTTTTAATCATTTTGCTTTAAGTGATAACTAATTCGGATTAGTTTATTGAAAAGACCATTATTATACAGTTAAAAAGGACAAATAAATCGTAAGCCCCAACTCAAAAGCATATGAGAAAAGGAATCTATCCCGTGTCATATGCGCATCTTCCTTCACATATTACACTTTTAATTATTTATAAACATAAGATAAAAAATCCCAATTACTATATCGTAAATACTAACGACTGTGTTAATTTTGTCGTTACTTTTTCAAACTAGGGTTTGACATTGGTGCTTGGGTTTGAATCCCCATCTCACATTAATTACCACTTTTGTCTTTTGTCTTGAATCCCATATTAAGACAATACTTAGTAAACAAACCTACGCAAACTCCAATTCTTATCTATATATGTGTTCGTATATATATAGGACCATAGGTTTAAAGTTAAAAGGATACATACGTTACACATGTCATTAAATAAACTCAAATTAGCCACATCTATCAACTTAAAGTCTATATAAGACTATACATATCGCTTAATGGTTAAGACTTAAGAGAATACAATGTCAAGCTGGTGCATGTCTCTCCTTTTTGTTTTTAGGTTTTAGTTTTTTTTTTTTTTTTTTTTTTTTGGTTTTGTCTTTTATTCCGGTGCTCTTCGTTTTGTGCTTTTATTTATAAGCGATCAACTTTGGTGTGACAATGATGTAAGAAACATGCTTTTATCCAATGCGATTGACAATTAACATTAAAAAATGTACTGAAATTTCTTCGTTGCACGGTAGTTAATGCATATTTGCTATATAGCAGAAAAAAAAAATCAGAGGATATGATGCATGGAAAGGCTGGAGAATAAATTATCACCAACCATACGTTCTTTTTAGATATTGTGGATATGTGCATAGCAACCGGAGATTTAGCTAAGTTTTGACCAAATTAAAACAATTTCCATCACAATAAGAAAGAAAAAGAATCAAACAATGGTAACTAAGTAGTGCCTTTTTTTTTCTCTCTCTCTTTTTAATTTAGTTAAACTTTATGGATGTTGAATTGATAGAAATAAAAGTCAACTATCTCTTTAGACTACAGTAGAAGACTTTAGTCTGGAAGAACTTAGTTAAGTAAAACCATTCTTATTGGGAGGTCTTTAGCTTAGTTCTTAGCTCATGAGTGATTAAAATTAAAGGTTGAAATATTGATTTTACTAAGGAATGGTTCTTAGTTAAGAGCAAAAAATTGGCTTAAGAGCAAAAAATTGGTTTAAGAACCAAAACTAAGGCCTCCCCAATAATGTTGCTCTAAAATCCTTCCGTATCAAAGAAAAAACAGAGCTATATATAACGTTAATTCCTCGGAAATGTACGCTCTGTATTCATTTGTATTTTATACATGCTATAGTTAATTAATTTCACTTTTAAGTTTTAACTATAGATGAAAGATATACTCTATAAAAAGAATATAACAAGACATAATAACTACTGATCAATACTAATAAGAATTCATATCAGAAAATATTTTAAAACCGAAACAGTAATTATTTGGATGACTCAAAGAAGAGAGAATCTGCGGGGAGGTAGAGAGAGAGAGGCCCGAAGAAGGAGGGAAGGTGAGAGGACACGTGGCAAAAGGAGAAGTGTGGTCCAAAGAAAAAGGAAAAACAGGGAGACGACACGTAACCCAATCACAAAAGCATTCCCATGTGACCTCTCTTCACTCATTCACTTGCGTGGAACTTGTCTTTGTCACCACTTTCTCTTCCTTCGTCATTATTCTTTCACTGCTTTTTTACCATTTAAATATACTGTCTTTGTTCCTAATAGTTTGATGTTTTGGGTTTTCACACATATTAAGAACTTAATTATTATTTAATAATTTTAATACTTTTTAAAATCTTAAATATTTTTAATAATTATCATCCAATAGTAGTATAAGAAAGTTAATGATTTATAATCATTACATCTTAAAATTTACAATTTATTAATATAACTCAACAAAAATAAAATAAAAATACTAGAAAATCATTCTTTGTAAAACAAACAACAAATGCTAGAACTTACAAAAAAAAAAAAAAAACAAATGCTAGAACATCAATTTTTTAGGAACAGAAGGAGTATTCATTTTCTTTTTCCTTCTTTTTTTTTCTAAAAAATATAGTCATTTTTCTTTTGTGCAACAAAACCAAACTTCCAAAATAATTTTAATTTCAAATTTACATAAGATAGTTGGTTTCGAGTCTTTTACACATTATAAGTTATAACCATATTGTTATGTACATGTTCCTACCAGAAATAGCAAGTACCGGTTTTCATTACCAATTAAGAACAGTGCCGGCTCTCCCCATGTGCGGGGAGTGCTCATGCACAGGATCCAAAATTTTTTAGTCTTTTTTTTTCAACTAAATTTATTAAAATTAGGGTCCAAATTTTTTTTATTATATCTATACTAGTATAATCACAGCACTTTTTGTGACGGGTGGGTAAAAAAGCTTTCGGGTATATCGGATATCCGACCCATTTTAAAAATTCCTTCACAAAAAATTTGTTGGGTCGGGTTATATTTAACCCAACTCATACACCGGATATTCCATATTTAATAATTTAGATTTTTAGAAGATTTGATTAAGATTTATAATTATGATTCTCCTATCATCTTTGTTTGATTTGTTTTTAACTGTTTTGAATCATCATATAATACATAAAGTAAAAAAAACAAATCAATTTTTTTTCTGCATATACTGTGATTCGAAATTTTAAAAACGAAAATATAATATAATACATATAATACATATATTATCTAATTGACGAAAATGTGTGTTCAACGTTCTACATCGATTAAAATATTTAGACAATGATTCAGAATCATATTACAAATAAGAACATTAATAAAATAAATGAGTTTTTTGGCGGGATGGGTTTGGCGGGACGGGTTTTTGAATCAACAATAATAAAAAGATTAAAATAGCATTAATCCGCCGCTTCAATACGGATTTAATCCTTTTTTTTAATACAAATCACAGGACGAGTTAAGAAATTACGGAACGGATTATATTTCGGAAATGATTTATATGGCGGACGAATTTGAATCAATATTTATATACCGCTTTAATACGGGTTAAATCCTCAGTTTATTAATAATTATCTCGTGGACTCGTGGTATACCGTTACTTAATAACAATTGTAAACTACAATATAAATAAATATGTTATAAAGAGATACAATTTACAAAATATTTCTATACTAACTTTAAAATTAAATCATCCCACGGTATACCGCGAGTTAAAATCTAGTATATACATAAGAAATTAGGACCAATTGTTTTTTTCAGCTTATGATTCTTAGTTTTTTTGAACCGGCCCGGATTAAGAAATACGATCGATTTGAGATATATATATATAAACTGCACTACTAGCTTAGGTCCATCAAATTTGAGGATGTGACGACGCTAGAAGAGACAAAATGATGGCCATACACCATTTCTAATTTTACATAATATACATGTCCAATGGAAAATAGCTTTAGTATTTGTGAGTTGTATGATGTGTCTTCCTCCAATAGTGGGGGACATATATACAACTAAAAAAAGCTTTTATTGTTTTCATGTTCTGATTGGGTGACGAAGAATCATGTTTAAATTACCTGAAAATTTCTGATAATCCGTATTCAAATTATTCATTTGTTGTAAAGATGCAGTGCCGGCTCAAATAGGGGGCTAGGAGTCCAATTCCGTGTTCCAATAATTAAAAGGCCCATTTTAATTTTTTTTAATAAAAATATTAAAATTTTAAATTACAACATAAAAATAAAATTTAGAAGGGCCCATAAATTTTTTTATTATTGTTTTTAGTTTTAATACTTAACTTTTTAATAAAAATATCATACAATTTTTTTATATAACACAAAGAACACAAAAAAAAAAATTCTAAGGGCCTAAATGTTTTTTTTGCCTTAGAGCCTATAATACTGTTGAGCCGGCACTGTAAAGATGGACCTTCTTTTATTTGTCATCAAAACATTGGTTTTTAAATCTATTCCATTCGGTCTAACTGAGTAACTAACATCAATAATAAGAGATTAATCTCTTACTAGCCCTAGGCATAAAAACCGAACCCGAAAAACTGAACCGAACCGAACCAAAAATATCCGAAATTTTTGGTTTTGGATATTGCTAAATAATCGAATGGTTCTCTTCTCAACTATCCATGGATATCGGTTATTAACCGAACCGAACCGATATCCATGGATGTCCATTTTAAACCAAACACATCTGACTAAAGAGGCCTATCTTCGATTATTTTGTCTTCGATTCAGTGTTTCATTTTTTTCTAGATTTATATCGAGAGAGAACAAAAATACATGTTGTATGCTCTGTTTTCTAAAATGAAAAAGAGAAGAGATAATAGATTCTTGTTAATTATTATTGTAACTTTGTGTGTGTGAGTGTGACTACGTGAGTGTCATTGTAATAATTAATATTTGGTTAGAATAAATTCTTGTTAATTGTTATGTGTTAGTGTGTGTGAGTGTGACTGTGTGTGATTGTGTCACAGGAAAAGAAGAATGGAAGATCAACTCAAGGACTTGAAGATGCTTGTAGAATCTAATAATCTATACTCTAATCTCTCTCTTTTTCTCTCTTTCTCAATCTTTTTTTAACTTGATTATTTTGTTGCGGTTTCAACTTTTAAGTCTCTCATTTTTTGGATTTGCAACTTGAATTATTGCATTTTTAAGCTTTTGGTTCATATTAGCATACATTATTAGTATTACAATTTGTTTTTATTCGAGTAATGGTTCGGTTATTTGGATAGTATGGTTATTTGGTGGGTAAATATCCGAACCGAACCATACCTAAAAGTATTTCGGTTATCTTAGGGTTCTCTTCTCAAGTATCCAAACCGAACCGAAAACAGTTCGGTTCTCTTATGGTTCCTAAGTGCCTAGAACTGAATAACCGAATAACCAAATAACCGAACCGAACCGAACCGAACAACCGAACGCCCAGGGCTATCTCTTACCTTCAAGTCGTTTTATGATTATTTTTTTTAATATAGAGTTACGTGAAACAATTTGACACTTTGATTCCAAATTATTATTTTTCTTCCTTTTTGGTTTTCAACCTGCAACGAACGTCCCAGTAGATAAGTTGAATTTTATCCTCGTCCGGTCGTCCCTATTCGAAGACCACGTGAACATCACGTGCATAGCCGTCACTCAATGTCGGAATATAATTTTTTTTCTTTTTCTGTGAATTATTTAGTCCTTCCTAATTATATACCTTCCCATGATTCGTGTTCATTGCCTACACATTACTCTCTTTCTCTCTCTTTTACGCACCCAAAAAAGGCACACCATATAACCTTATTTATCAAGTGACCGTTTTTTAGATGAAAAGTGAATACTACTATATTTTTCCAACGAAATATACTATTTTAAACCAATCAGTCGTCATATCAATTTTTTTTTTTTTTTATCAATTCTGTATATATGTTTTTTTTTCTCCCTACATATTTGTATCCTTTTAGACAAGCTAGGTTTGAGCACCTTACAAATCAAAAGCACGGCATTATAGAAACCACCCCTCTACTATTAAGCCTTCAACAAATTTAATATAATTATAAGGTTCGAATGGTGGTAAAGGATATTGCAGAAAATGATGGAAAAAACGAAAGCAATATGGTTATGACAGAAGAAATTGAACAAAAGATGTTGAACAAGCATAATAAAATTAATAACATGACATGTTTTCAACTCATTTTATTAGTTATTTTGTGCAAGTGTGGTATTTTTATTTTGCTTTAAATATGCATTCCAAATTCATGTGAATGAAGGCGTGAAAGCTTTAATCTTTGCTGCTTATGTCCAATCTTTAATTATTCCACCACACCATTCATGACCTCAAATGTACTAGAAGAATTGTAGGTACTTTTGGTTTTTGGTACGAAGTAAATAAAGAAGCCATGAAAGTGTTTATGTGTGTGCTCCTTATGGCCAATCTTTATTCTCCCTGTTGTCATGTCTCGAACTTGGAACCTTAACTTTCTTCTTCAAGAAATTACATAAGTTCAACTATAACAGGCGTATAATATATTTCTCATACACCAAAATATGACCTTAGTCTCATAGACCTTCAACGTATACGTACGTCGGTGATACAATGATACGTAAGTTATCTTGTGTCTACACATTACATGATAACCTGATACAAAAAGAAGGGTTTAAAATGTTTCGTATAACTTACGAAGCAGGCTATGTTCAATTAATCGCATGGTGGAATATATAATAACAATGTTGAAGAAGACAAAATAGAGTACAATGTTTAAATATAAAGAAAGAAAACTCGGGAAGATTCGTGGTTATAGACTCCTAATCACTAGTGTAAAATAATAATCAATAGGAAAGATGGGAAAAGGAGGAGCACACTGCTTTTCAAAGGAAAATGAGTGGTCTCGAGCTCCGAAAACAAAGAAAAAATAACCTATAAAATTGACTAATTAACAGTAAAAACTAAAATAACCAAAGACAAAGACAGTTTATATTATATAGTTTGGAAAAATAAATTAAATTAAACATATATACCCAATAGTTATCCACAGATGATCGGATCGCTTGTTTACTACTTACTTCAAAATTTGGTCGTCTTCGGGATCCACACCACGTCTCTTGTCCAGAATTGTCCTCACCCACCAAATTTTTATGTTTAATTACTTTATTTATTACCAAAACGTAAATTCTTCTTTACATAAAAGCTCTTAAAAATATTTGAAAAAAAAAAGAGAAGATCTTGAATATTTTGTAATTATAACCAACATACATTTTTCTTAAAAAAAGTTAAAATAAAACTTTTGAACATCTAAACGTTTTCCATCATATATATATGTATATATATCTTGCCTTAGCAAAAATATTTGTATTTCTAGTTGGATAAATTATTTTATAATTTAAATCAAGTGAAACAAAATGTTCTCCACTTCTTACAACATTTGTACATTGTGCTACCAACTAGAGAAGAAGTTATATCTAGAAGAAATGTAACCATATAAGTGTATTCTCTTTTAGGGTAAGTACATCCCATTAAACATAAAAATTATATGTATATTCAATCCGTATCATACATGCATACCACACAATCAATGATTCTTTTATTCAATTTACTTCTTTTTACATAAAGATAAATGGCATAAGTGTAAATAAAGGGAAATACGACCCACGAATAAGGGTCACAGTCGTTGAGCTTATAAAAAGCATCTCATAGGACTCAACCTCACCAAAGTCATATCCTATTGCATCACTCTCCTTTAAACACAGTCAGAGAAAAACAGCAACTCTTGTCTGAAAAACTAGAGAGAGCGACAGAGAGAGAAAATGGATCATGGTAGGTTAATGGATGATCAAATGATGCTAGGCTCTCAAGTGTACCCCTACACGACCCAGACCCAAAATTCACACTGCATCATCGTTAACCAGATCGATGGATCATCATCAGGCGAAGGATCAAAACCGGTGAAGCGGAGGAGGAAGAGGAGGAGCAAAGGTTCATCAGCCACCAACGAAGAAGACGTGGCAGAGATCGGAGGGATGTTGAGGAAGAGGAAGTTGACCGATGAGCAAGTGCACATGCTCGAATATAGCTTCGGGAACGAGCACAAGCTAGAGTCAGGAAGGAAGGAGAAGATCGCCGGAGAGTTAGGTCTTGACCCGAGACAGGTGGCTGTTTGGTTCCAGAACCGCCGTGCACGGTGGAAGAACAAGAAACTCGAGGAAGAGTACGCCAAACTCAAGAACCACCACGACACCGTCGTCCTCGGCCAATGTCAACTCGAGTCTCAGGTATAACTTTTATGTTTTTTTTCGTTATAAAACGGAGTAAATTCAGTGATGTTTTTTTTTTGTTTGCCGAATTTCATGGTGCCTGTTTTTTTAAAAAAGATGAATAATTTTATCCGTTATTGGATATATGTGAATTACGTATAACTACTTTTTATAACTACATATAGTTTATTCGTCAATTAGTATATTTTTCAGTATTTATTACACATGTAAAATGTAGTTGAATCGAATTTTACAACTAGTAAAAATCCGGGAGCTAGCTAAAGTGACTTGTTGGGAGGGTTCCTATAATTAAAATAGTCAATTAGACAGACGAAGGGACCACACCAAAAATATAATAAAGTGGGATATTTCGTCATCTCATTCTTCTTATCCACCATTTTAAAAAACAGTTCCGTCCGTACAATATCAGTTGGGCTCATGAGTGGCCCATTTGCAGTTGCCCACTCAGATAATGCCACGTAAAACCTTCTCTGCATTTGGGCTGACATGCCAGAAAATATCCTCGTTTCTATTTCATGTATGAATAATACAATTAATTTATCTAACTTTTTTTTTTTTTTTTCACATTAACTTGCATGGTATTAAAACAGTTTATTTCACTGAACTTTCTTAAAGTAATATCTGAGGAAGAAAGTGATGTTGATAGTAAAAATACAACATTTTTTAATTACTGTCTTATATTTGTTACTATGTACTAAACAAGAGTTTTATTTCTGCATTTCTTTCTTTACATAGTGATTAACAGTGGTACTAACAATTGATATGTCTTTTACTTTTGTAGATATTGAAACTAAAAGAACAATTGAGTGAAGCTCAAAGTGAAATTCGAAAACTCTCGGAACGACTTGAAGAAATGCCAACCAACAGTTCAAGTTCATCGCTTTCTGTTGAAGCCAACGATGCACCGACTGATTTCGAGCTTGCCCCGGAAACTAATTATACCATCCCATTCTATATGTTAGATAATAATTATTTACAAAGCATGGAGTATTGGGATGGTTTGTATGTATGATTTTATCAACTAAAATGTCTCGTGTTTTATGGATGTTATTATATAAGTAATGTAGAAATAGGTGTTTGGTGAAACGGTTGTAAATGTGTCGCGCGTTTTCAGTATTTATTTTAATATATTACTTTGTTTATCACTACTTCTTATTAGTTCCATATATATATATATAAATCTTGACCAAAAAACAACTGGTAACATATATATTCATATTTGCTAATATGTAATGAAGAGATTATTCATGTACCGTATACCACTAGTTAGTTACCAAATAGTTGTTATATATATCCAGCTGAAATAGAAAACTCTTGATTTCATTACTTATATAGGTTGTTCAAGAATTTATTAAAAATCCTGCATAGATAAAGTTCCTTTTTTTGTCAACACCAAATAAAGGTGTGTTATCAAAGATGGAGGTAGACCGAAATTTATTAGAACTAAAAATTAAAGGACTAAGATATATTTATGTAATCTAGCAGTACATTCATGTTAATTTATCAAATAAATCACGGTGTAAAGGATCAGAAAAAACCTACCACACTCATTTTAGTTTTTTTCCTTCGTAAATATTTATTTTGGTCAACAATTTTTCATCTTTTAAGTTTTATTAATAACACAGGCATAAAAATCAAATGGGTTTGAATTTGTTATTTTATTTCGTAGACGATATTTCTCTTCTTTTCCCTCCCGTTCCACATCCAGAGCCCTTTTTGAAAAATATGAGTTTTCAGAAAAGACCTCGTAAGTTTATAGAGTTTACAGAAACACCCCAAAGATTTCGGGTGTATAAATAAGCAGCGTCGTCTTCATCGGTCACTAGAGAAAAATGAGAGCTCGCGGGTATCAACGAGCTCCGTCAATGGAGGAACCAACGGAGATTCCGACGGATAAGACGCTTCATCCAAATTACCCATTTCTGATGTCCTCACATGGTCTCAAGTCCTTTGAATCGGACGACGACGACGACGACTCAAACCTCGAGTCCAACGATCAATTCGCTTTCAGTATCAGCACAGACTTGCTTGTCGATGTCAAAGACGTATCCATAGAGGAAGTAATCGGCGAAGGTTCATCTTCTATAGTCTACAAAGGATTGTGGGTTTCTCAATTCCTAATTTGAAATTGCTTCTCTTGATTTTGTTTGATGAAAAAAATCATCTTGATTTCAGTATTTATTTGCTTTCTCTCATCGTTTTAGATTTCAGGATTGAATTTTGGGTTTAACCTTGAAATGTTAGGGTCTCCGGAAAGATGGTTTCTTTGTGATTTGTGTTAACCTGTGACAGTCTTGAAGGACAAGGGTTTTGTCACTCTTAGGTTTCTTTCAAAATTCGATCAAGTTTTTCTCAAATGTTAGGAGCAAGTGTTTATGTAGTCTAAGCTCTACTGTTTCCTACACAATGCCTCCAACTTTTTAAAATGAAAGGATAAATCTTACAGAGAAACCATAAATTACACTCTCAATCTGTTACATACGAAGGGAGTTTATGAGGTTTATAGTAAGTGCTCCATGAGAATGTTTGAATGAGTAATCTTTGTATTGTGGCATAGTTGTTATTGATTTTTGGAATTTGCATTTGGGCTAAAGAACATTTCTCTATCGATGATTATAGGTTCATGAGATTTATCCCTGTGTCTGTGAAGATATTCCAGCCTAAAAGAACATCTGCTGTAAGCATTGAGCAGAAGAAGAAGTTTCAAAGAGAGGTTTTGCTGCTTTCCAAGTTTAAACATGAAAACATTGTGCAGGTAATATGGAGTATAAGACCTTTTGATGTTTGATTGTTTTCATATGTTAGCCTTATCCAGTAGGTCGTCATTGGTAGTCTCCTAATGTTTTGTTAGTAGTTGAGATCCAAAGTTGATGAGATCCTTTTGATGACAGTTCATTGGGGCGTGCATAGAACCAAAGTTGATGATAATTACTGAACTCATGGAAGGCAATACTCTTCAGAAGTTTATGCTGAGTACTCGTCCAAAGCCTCTTGATCTGAAGCTCTCGATTAGCTTTGCATTGGATATTGCTCGGGGAATGGAGTTCTTGAATGCAAATGGCATCATTCACCGCGATTTGAAACCAAGTACAATTATTCATTTAGTTAAAACTGAGATATCACGAAATGAGGAATCAAGATTTGTGAATTGAGGAAGATTGGTCTTTGTGCAGGTAATATGCTCTTAACAGGTGATCAGAAACGTGTAAAGTTGGCTGATTTTGGACTTGCTAGAGAGGAGACTAAAGGTTTCATGACATGTGAGGCTGGTACATACAGATGGATGGCTCCAGAGGTGGGTGTTTCAAGTTTCTTGACACTTGATTAGATTTAATATCTTTTCTTGGTTTGACATGACGTTTGTTTATTTGCTTGTTTTCTCAGTTATTCAGCTATGACCCGCTTCAAATTGGCGAAAAGAAACACTACGATCATAAGGTGGACGTTTACAGTTTCGCCATTGTTTTCTGGGAGTTACTTACCAACAAAACCCCATTCAAAGGAAAGAACAACATCTTTGTAGCTTATGCTGCCAGCAAAGTAAGTAATCCATAATTTAAACGCAAAATCACATGAACATGGATTGATCAAGTATTTTAATTTCTGCAGAACCAGAGACCAAGTGTGGAAAATCTTCCAGAAGGAGTTGCTTCTATCCTGCAATCATGCTGGGCAGAGGATCCTGACGCTCGTCCTGAGTTTAAAGAGATTACAGTTTCACTAACAAACTTGCTCAGAAGCTTAAGCTCAGACACTGATGCCACTTCATCCAATAGCAAAACCAATATAGCTACCGAGGATTCAACAAGCAGTCTGGTTCAAGAACGTGTTGTCTGTGATTGTCCCGGACTAAAGATGACCAAGACGAAGAAGCTGAAGAAGAAGACGAATAAAGTGATGAATATGATCGTTCCTTTTCTCAGGATCTTCAAAAGTTGTATGTCCAAGTGATGGAAGTAGAAACTCTGGTAAAAGATAAAAGGTATAGCAATACGAACTTGTCAGAGTAAAACGAAAAATGGTTTGGCTTCTTCGTTTTTTGTTCTTTTTGGTTTGGTATTTTCAACAGAAATTGTTGAAAAATAGTACGCCAACAAATTAGTGTCTGGAATCGAAGAATACGTGCGGTATAAATAATAGCTGATCATCATAATCTACTTTATAAGACATGATTATTCAGACAATTTTTTTTTGTGCATTTTCACCTAAATAGACACAATTATATCAATTTTATACAGTATTTACGGATCGACGTATCATAACGATAGCTAAACTATATTTTGATTCCGTGAAAATACGTGACACATAAATTGACATGACCGTAACAAAATTTAAAACCAAAAACAACAAAAAAGAAAGAAAAAAAAAGGTATCGTCAGATTTTGGCGGGATTGGACTGTTTAAACAGAAGATCAGTTTGGTCTCTTAAGATGAGTTGACGTAAGAAACGACGACAGTGATGTCATCAAGCTTTCCTCCGTAATACCTGTAGCCAGCCTCCTGAGCTGCAGTCGCGAAAGGGCTCTGCCGTTTTTTGTCGACTGCTCTCTGACGTGCCAAATCTGCAATCTTCTGAGCTGTAGCTTTCGGGTCTAAACCAGCCCTCACCGAACTAACCACCACTCCGGTGATCTCTTCATTGTATAGATTATCATACACACCGTCAGTTCCAGCGACAATCACATCTCCAGACTCAACATCTATTGTAAATACCTGATTCATACACCCACCAGTTTTAGAGCGTGTTCAATTCGTATAACCCGAACAGAAACCGAAATCAGAAATGTGTACTAAAAATGCTCTTATTAAGCTATATGAGGATGAATAAGCGTTTGAAACTGACCTGACCGGAGCTAGGGACATCGGCACTGTTTCCACTCTCTAATTGATAAGTGAAGTTGAACCCATGCTGCTGAACAGGAGACTGAAACACCGTGGTTCCCTCTCTAACCACCGTGAATCCACTGTCTCCGAGATTAATCGCGTGTAATCCCTTGCACAAGGAGAGTAAACACTTTTCAACAGAAGGTACCGAGAAATACAGTTTTTGTTATCCACTAGCAAAACTTTGTGAACTAACTAACCTTATCTGTTAAAGCGATGATACAAGCCGTGGAGGAGCCTTTGGCTCTGGTTTGAGAATGTGCTTTCTCTAGCACCAATAACGGGTCGATAGAAGAACCTTTATGCTGTTCTTGAATCGCTGATACTGAATAAGACATAAGCTCACGCGAAAACAGTCCGGCATTAACACCAACCTCTGCCCAACCGCCAACTCCATCTGCAACTCCAATAGCTTGTTCTTCATCGCAGATAAAGTGAGCGTCTTCTCCACCTGTAGCTTCCTTTTCAGGATGTGGGAGATAACATGACCCCGACACTAGCCTGAGACTCCTAGTCAAAAATCAAAACATTGAAATCAATTGTTATTTCCCCGGTAACAAAAAAGAATTAGAAAGTGTAAATGAACTTACTTAAGTGATGTAGTAGTTGGTGGTGACTCTTGAGAACCACCGTTAAGAGAAGACAGCTCATGAGCCGGTCCAACCGAGAAACAAGCCATAGGAGATGTATGAACACTCTTAGTCAATGTCCCAAAGAGTGCCCGACTCTTTTCGAGCAACTCAATGGCAGAATAGTGACAAACCAATCGATTCTTCGTGATTCCCACTCTCTTCCCAAGTCTCATACTAGCTACAGGACAATTAATGGTGAAGCTACCACCACTAGAACGCTTCGTAGTGAAGTCTAAGCCATTTGAACAAGTTGTAACCAAATCATCCAAGCAAGCGTCTCCAAACACTGGCAAAGAACCAGAAGCAGCCATGGCTTGACGAAACCGAGAGCTATCAGAAAACAATCTCCTTTCACCGGAATTGGAGAAGAAGCTCTTACTTTTACCAGCAACAATTCTTTGAAACCCAAATTGAGAAACAGGGTTTAATCTCGAGAGAGCAGTCGCTGACATCTGAATCAACAGTTAAAAAAAAAACCATAAATTCAAACTATAGTTATTACACTAACAACACAGAAATCAAGCATGAATCTTAAAACTTATAATCAATAAAAGGAAAGGTTTGTACCAAAATTGAAACGAAGCTACACAAAAATCAACGAGCCCTTAAAACAATACCCAATTCAAAATACTTGAGAGAAGAGATGAATTATTACCGGATTCTTCACTCTTCAGGGACTTTTTCCGTCTTCTTCTTCGCCGGAATTAGGTTTCGAGAAAAGAGGGAGGAAGACGAAAGGAATATAATATAAAAACCTCTAGTTTTCCGCTACCTACCTGCAGGCAGCTGCGAGCTCCTCCGTAAAATTCATTAGCCGATGAGGGCAAAATCGGAAATTTGACTTGCTTGTTCGTGTTCAGTTTTCGATGTCGAAAATTCTTAGCTAATCGCCGCACAATTAAAATATAAAATAAATAATAATTTAGTGGACTTGGACCTTATATTTAAGGCCCAATAGTAATAAGCTTGTGGACTTGAGTAGTCTTCAGCATAATGAGCTTAAAATATCTATGGCCCATTAATAAACATTTCACAATCCACCCTAATAGTAGGCTTCTCACTTCTTGCTTAGTGTACACAGATTTCAAACCAATTTTAATATAACAAACTACACAAATAATCATCCTTTTTTTGGTTAAGAAAACAATCATTGCTTGAATCCAAGTATATCGATTTAAAGTCACTAATCTTCTTAGTTAGTAGTGATTTCTGTTTACCTTGTCACTATATAGATTTAGAGTACGGTAAATATGATGTGGGTAAATTATTTTGCTCTCCAAAAGAAAATAAGAGACATAATAGTGACTTTTTGGGTAGAATTGTCATGATAATATCATCACTATAATGGACCTACGTAGCGATTGAAACATCAAAAATCCAAAATATTTGGTCGATTCTCCAATCAAATCACTAGTCAAGTCGATTGGTATTATTTCAAATTATCTGGCCCAAATTAGACTATTTTTAGTTATGTAAGTTTTTAGACAAATTTCACCACCTTCCAAAAAATTATAGCTTTTGGGAGAAGTCAAGTCAATCTCATCTACGAATTGTTCCCATTAATGCAAAATTCGATATAGCGTTTTAAGACAGCAAGCAACACACAGTAGAAACAATTCAAACCCCATTGATTGTTTTCACATGGAACTTTTGGTAAAGACATCAGCAGTATTAGACCAAAATTTGTAACCATCTGAAATAATAATTTGGTCGTTTATGTCACAACCCCGAATTCAAATTATCTCTCAAAGTACAACATCATCACAAAAAAAAAAAAAAAACAATATATTTTTGTAGTTGTCTGGGAGATTTATGTACTTGAGAGAAAACCCACATTGGGAATAAAACTAAAGCTTTCACTAAAACAGATACCAAAAGATCTAAAACCTGATACAAACTTGATAAACTATATACTACACTGTTCTACTACGTTCATGCCTTATGTCTCTCTTACGAACTTCTTCCAATGTCTTTGCTTGAAAACTCCCCCGATCCAAACAGATCTATTCCACCGCCGCCACCTATAGAAGTTAACAGAGCAGACAATCCGCCTCCGGTATTACCGCCATTACCAACAGCTCTTCCTAATCCGAGAAAGTCGAGTGTCGTCTGTTTCGGACCAAACACCGACGAATTCCCCATCATGAGCTCTTTCAGACCTGATCCGCTACCACCACTGCTACAAGGTAGTCCAAGTCCAAGACCAGGAGCTAATGACAACGCATCGTGATTGCTGAGTTCCATTGATGAAGAAGTAGTTGAAACTATGCCTAACCCGCGAAGCAACGAACCTCCTGATCCCGTGGAACCCATTTGGGCAGCTTTCTGGAGCAATGCGGTAGCTGACATTGCCGGTTGAGGAGGAAGAGGAGTTAGGAAATGTGGCGGATCTTGTATTGTTGGTCCGAACAAAGAAGGATTCGTCGAGAGACGGAGAGAGATGGGTTCCAAGGAGGAAGATGGTGCAAATAGACTTGGAGAAGCGGTTGAGGAAGCATATAAACTAGGCGAAGCTGTTGATGATACAAACAAGCCTGCGTATTTACTGTGATCGTTGCTTAGATCGGATGAGCTAACATTGAAACCGATCGTTCTTGAAGCTTCCTCGATAATGACTTCAGGGTGATTGTTGTTTTCTGGAGATTCTACAAACAAAAAAAAAAGTGTGATGATGAGTCGTGGGCATAAACTTTGATGCTTTAGATCTAATTATAAAATATAAATTATGGGCTTATAACTATGGAAGACGAAGAACACTTATTTAACAGACAAGTTCGACGATCAGAAATATAACGGCGCTACAGACAAAACCAACTAAACTCCAAGATCACCGACCAGTTTACATATAGAGTTTTTAAAGAGTTATTGGTTCGGTTAGAGAATTGAGAAATTGTTACATGTAGCGACAAAACTTAATCCAATATTGCCAAATTTTCCAATCAAGCAGGTAGTTTGGATTATGTACCTGGAGAATTCTGAATCGGCAAAACCGAGGAAGATATGATTTTGACAGGCTCAGACTCAACCGAAATAGCTGGTGCCGGAGCTAAAGCAACAGATGGCGGAGAAGAAGGCGGTAGCGACGGAGAAGATTCAACAACGGGTGGAGATTTCTGCTCAATTTCAGGATTCTTCCTTTTGACAGTTTCTGGATAAAGTTTCTTGCTTTGAGTATGATTCTTCGCACTCTCTTCAGCCAACGCATCACAGAAAGCTCTATGCGTTATAAAGCTATCTCTCCTGCAACAAAACCCAATCCGCAAGTTAGTAAAATCCATAAGAAAGATCAAATCTTTTAGAGGGTTTAACAAAAATCGCACCTGGAAAATAGAGTTCCACAATCGCATTTATACTCCTTAGTGCCACAAATCTTCGAGTGAGCTTTCCAATCAGATTGAACAGCATACTTCTTAGAACATTTCTCACACTTGAATTTCTTCTCACCGTGTTTCCGACAAAAGTGTTTCTTGATTCCCGTAAGATCTCCAAGAGCACGTGACGGGTCATGATGAACACAGCCAGAAACAGGACAAACATAAACCTTCTTCCTCACTTCTTTACTCGATCTCTGTCTAAGTTTCCATGGAAGATTGTGACCACGACGATGAAGCTGAAGATTCTGGTCACGTTGAAAACCTTTGTTACAGATTTCGCAAACGAATCGATTCGTTGCCATAAGTGTTTTAGGTGACAAAGCTATCACTTCCGCGTCTGGATCTAAAATTTATATCCCCCAAAAAAGACAAAACAATCAGTGAAACAACTAAAAACAAATAAATTGCAAAATCAAAAACAAAAGTTTGGATTTTGGAAAAAGTTACCAGGCATTCCGGGAAGATTCCGTTTCTTCTTCCCGACGGATTTGGGAGTTTGATTTTGGTTTCCGGTCGATGAGACGCTTGCATCGCCGGAAACTGTAGAGGAATTATCTAAATCAACCGGCATGTGTAAAAAAGATACTAAATTCAATCTTTTTTCCCCCTTCACAAAAAAAAAAAAGAAGCAAATCTCAGCTCAGCTCAATCTAGGGTTTATCATCATCCTCCTCTGTTTAGTCTCTCTCTCTCTCTCTCTCTTCTTCAGCTACCAGTCAATCTGCTTTTCGTAAAAATCTCTTTTTTTTCCCCTTTCCGCCACCAAACTTTTCTGATAACTCTCTCTCTGACCTCTCTCTCCCTTCTTCTTCAAAAAAGAAATCAACTCTTCAATACCCAAGAGATCCCATAATCATTTAACCCAGCCTCTCTTCTCCACACGCTTCTTTTATCAACCGATCAGATCCAACGGCTGAGATTCCACCGGAGATGAGTTATCCTTACTACTTCCGGCTTGTTTCTCTCTGAAGAATCACCGAAGATAAATAAGGCGGCTTGTGTGAGAGACTTTGTGTGAAAGCTTCAATTTTTTTTTTCTTTGGCTTGTCCAAGAAAAAGGAGCCTTCTCCTTCTCTTCTCTCTCTCTCGAGACAATTATACTATTTTTTTCTTCTCAACTTTTCACCATTTTTTTATTATTTTAAATGTTTTTAACCAGCATTTTTTAAAAATTAATTGTGTCTGTCGACTTTCAACTTTCAAGTTCCAAGTATCTAAAATCGGAAAAACGGTCTATTTCCCCACGAGAAGTATCGCATCATAACAGATAGAGCCCATTCTTTGACCTCGGTCCATATCTCCATGAAATCAAAGTTATATTCCTATTTCTCCCCGAATCGAAAGTTCTATAGCTAAATGTCCCCGAATCTGGGTTATATCGGTTTGTGCTTTAAACCCAAAGTAAACCGTATACCAAACCACTAATATTTGATTCTCAACTGAATTTAAACATGACCCAGCCGTAAATGCTCCGATATCATCTTCTTCTTCACCGGATTCTTCAAACAACAAAAACAATCTTGAAAAATTTGATATCAAAATTACAAAAGCTCATTGGAGAAATTCATTGTAATTAACCAATAATCAAATTCGATGGTAATAAACTTACAACATCCTCTCCCTATAGCCACCAAATCATATCAGTTAAATCGCCGGAATTCGTAATCGACAACGACTGCAATCCTCCACATAAAGCTACGCCGTCGAACCTCCATTCTGTCCTAGTGTCAATGTTCTTAGCTTCTTGCATTTAGAATTCTATGCCTCTAAAGCTACACCACTATGCTTCACATCACATCCTTCACTATGTCAAGAACCAGCTCCTCTAGATTCGGTAAAACTGAGAAAACCTCGATTAGCATCTCCGCCGTGACAGCACAATCTCCAGCTTCTTCACTCGTTTTCTTCTTCAACAATGTTGACATTCTCACATCCACTCATCTCTAACCATCAAGGTTAGATCTCTCCCTTTTCTCTCTTTATATTTCTTGTTCTTGTTTTGTTTCTCTTTACATACATAAACGATTTGATCTTTAAGAAAAAAGAGAGATTTTCTTTAATGGTCTACATTTTACTAAACTTGGATACTCTTCTTACAAAACACACACACATACATATAGTGGAGTGGTTTTTCTCCACTAGACCATACTTTAAGACTTATGACAACCACTCTATTATGTTGGAATTCCAACTCCTTAATTCACTCTTACACGACACCTTAGACTAATACAACATAACACTTTCCTTTGTTGACTTTACTTTTTCCATTTTGTTGTTTTGTTTAACAACTTCTTCTTCTTCCTTCGATGCTTCTTCCTCTGTTCTTCATCTTCTTTTTCTCATGGATTCTTCTTTTCTCTTTTGTAGGTTCAATCAAGGATACAATTCCAACAAACAACCTCCGGATCTCCGACGGCGTCTTCTTCCCACACAAACGACGGCGGTCTCAACAAACGTAAGATTATCTCAAACAAGATCAGATCGTTGGAGAAACTTATGCCATGGGAAAGAAAAATGAGTTTAGCAATGATTCTAAAAGAATCGAATTTGATTACAGGTCGAGATGGTGTTGATGGGATATGCTCTCATTTTTTTAATTTGATTGAATGTGGTCTTGATTGTTTTAAAAAGTAGTGAATTTGCTTTACATTTTGATTTGAATCATCAAGATCCACCTTTGTGTTGATTTGATTTGTTAATTACGGACAAATTTGTGTCTATGATGTGGCTCTGTTTGTGGTTTACCATTGGGGTTTCGGCACTATGAAGCTAAATTTTTTTTTTTACCAGCTCTATGAACCGAAGCGGGTAAAATCGGGTTTATTCCGGTTATAATTAGGTTTACTTGGTTTGTTTATCAGTTTTGTATATAATAAACCGATTAAACCCAGCTATGTGGGGTTTTAGATCTCGAACTTTTGACTCGGGGACATTTAGCTATAGAACTTTCGATTCGGGGAGAAATAGGAATACAACTTTGATTTCATGGAGATATGGACCGAGGTCAAAGAATGGGCTCTATCTGTTATGATGCGATACTTCTCGTGGGGAAATAGACCGTTTTTCCTCTAAAATCTGAATTTTGGACTCCCATGCAAATAATTAAATTAGAATAATCTTTTGATTTTAAAATTGAAAACGGTGTAAAAAGGTTAAAGGCACCAAACAAGACGAGTAAAAAGATATTGTAATAATTTTTTCACCTTTTTATGGAAAAGATTATATCATAGACGATGGTGTGTACTGAGAAAAATCAAAAATGGCATGTGAATATATGCAGTACCGAATGAATGCAATATCAGGTTTTTATTATTTTTCTAATGTACATACGTGTTACGTAATCAACTGATCAAGTAATTTATTAATATCGTCGATGGCCACAAAATTTCTAGAAATTAAAATTTTTATTTTATGTCATTGTTTACTACATAGATTTTTCTTTTAAGCTAAAATACCTATTTTGTCAAAAGATATTTCCATGTTTGGTTTAAGATTGGGTTTAGTATTTCCAAAGTTAATATAGGTAGCTTAGCTTAGGAACATATAAAATGTATCTTATAACAAAAAAAAAAATTATAAGAAAACGCGTGAGTCGGAAAATTATTTTACTGTCACTGGCCTTAGACGGGGACAAAGGAGAGTATTTACTTACCGTCGCGTTGTCGGACAATTTACCAAATTTTGTTGTTGAACGAATAACAATTTTACTGTGGGAATTTGTCGTGTAGCAATATGTTCGAAATCGCAATTTGTTTTCTTCTTTGTGGGTCTTTCTGGTTACCGAAACTATATAACCCAATTTAATGCAGTGTTCGTCTGTTTTTGCTGACTTTGACCTTTTTTTGGTATTATTCGTTCAGCTTTTGTTTAACGTTTTCATGCCTTGTAGGCATCTGAGATGCTCAGATTCTGACACGTGTCCTTTGTTATCTGAATTTGCATCCGTTGGATAAACATGACGATGACAGGTGGATGAAAAAGTAACACTAACCAGCTTGGATTTCTGCGTAATGTTACACCGCCACTCTCCTTAATTTTTTCCTTCTTAATTAAAATTTTTGTAAACGACAAATATATTATTACTATACGACTGACTTAAGATTACCTTTAAATATTAATTTGCATTAAGACGAGATTAAATTCGAATTTGTAAAAAGCTACTCCGTTTCGTTTTACTTGTCGTTTTAGAGTTAAAATTTTGTTTCATAATAGTTATCGTTTTAGGTTTTCGATGCAAATGTTTGGTAAAAATTTTAGTTTTATCCCTACTGTTTTAATGTTTCGGCCAATAAATTTTTTTATAAAATATATTAATAAAGGGTAAAACAGAAAATTTAATGTTTTTCTTAATTTGTGTGAGAAACCCTTAAACGATAACTAAAACGAAACGGAGGGAATAGTACACAGTAATGTTCGTTTTATACAAAATATGCCATAAAAACTAGCATTTGACTTTACAAGCATTGAAATTAATTAATTTTGGGGCCCCTTTATAATGGCTTTTCTTGTTAGTTTCAAAGGAAGAATTATTTTAGGCTGAGATGGGTCCCTCCATAAACTCACTATTCTGCCAGCATACAAATTCCTTAACATATGGTCCAAATAACAGTTCCAACCACTAGTATCCAATAATAATCTAAACAAAATTATCATTTTTTTTTTCCTGATAGTCTTGTATTTGTTTGTTCAGTGAGAGCTTAATACGTATATTAGTTGTAACTAAATACTTTGACTCTCTTTATCCGAAGTCCGTCCGAACACATTGATTATGTTTATTAAATCCGAACAACGCAATGATCTTTTTGGGCCGAATTATTCGTATTTTTAACCTAAGTCCAACCATATTTTAAGGGCTTTCTGTTTATTTTTGCATGTAAAATTTAAAATGTTTGCAAATAACCAAATATTGTATGAATGTAATTATTATTTTTCTGTTTTCACGTTATTTTTGAAATTGCTATTGCGTGTGATATTTGGGTTGGACCAATTATTGAAAAGGACAAGGCTGACTCTGGTTTTCAATGAGTAGTCCCCATGGGAGTTATGTATCATTTACCACACATTATTTATTTCAGTAGTATGTGTTTTTTATTTGATCTTTTATCTACGGAAATAAATGGTTCAAATTGTTTGTCTAAAAATGTACCCATGAATAGCTTGTGGTTTCACACAATTGTAGGAAACAAATAAATACTTGTAATGAGAATAATGTTATTAATTTATCATACGAATCCTATAGAAAAGGGCGGCCAAAGACCAAAACAAATGAATTTAAAATATGAAAATGATGGAATGACTGATTTTTATTTAAAGACCAATACTACACTAAAATTTTATAAAACGAATCCTAAAGAAGAGGGCAACCCAAGACCACGCAAATCAGTCTAAAAACATAAAAATTTCCAATAACTTAAAAACATGTGCATTAAACTGAGTTATATATATTTTCCATAATTTGGAATTTTACATGGAAATTTTACCTAATGACTAATGAGCACCAATATCATTTAGTCACTTTTTTCCCTTTTCAAAATTATTCGGATCCATGCATGCGATGCTGTATAACTATGTTCATCTTACTTGTCTCTATGTTACACCTTCAACGTCTTATATAGGGAATTAGGGATTGTTGTCAAGAACACAATGCTAATTAAGGAGTAAGGACGATTATGGCTTCTCGAAAAATTAGAGAAGAACTAAATAGTCTGAAACTAAAATAGCCTAAAACAAAGGAGAACCACAAATAGAAATCGGAAGACCTTAAAGAACAATTATACGAGAATGGAACAAATTTTGGAATCATCAATATACCAAAAAGAAAAAAAAGGTTACATGAATCACAGTCGTGCTGACAATCTTCGAACCATTTGTGGGTTTCATACAATCGATCACCAATAGAACAAAAGAGAAACAGAGGAACAGAAAGAACAGAAGGAGTGGGAAGTGTATGAGGAAGCTGTGTCCGAACATAGACAAGGACGATGGTTTGGAGACGGTGTTGGAAGTTCCGATACCGGAGGAGATGTTTTCCGGTATGGGCAACAACGTTGCGCTTAGGTGGCAAAATATGATGACGTGGATGAAAGCTCAAACGTCTGATAAATGGTCGCAACCGCTTATCGCCGCTCGTATCAATGAGCTCCGGTTTCTTCTCTACCTCGTTGGCTCGCCTCTTATACCTCTCCAGGTTCAAGTCGGTCATTCTGTTCATAAGCCCGTCAAAGATTGCTCCATTGTAAGTAACTCAAAATCAATCCTTATGAAAACATAATTAACGAACATGTTGAAAATATGATTCCTCTGTTTCTTGTATCCTTTACTACGATTAAAACCCAAAAAAGTCATTAATCAGCTTCGTAATAATTCAACTTAAAGTTGTTAATACATGTGTTGTACTCTACATTACATTAATTTATTCATCAGACACAGAGTACTCAACTTCAGTTTCAATGTTTTACGTTTTTTTCGTATGCATACGATTGCAGCAAGCTTCAACGGCGAAATACATTGTCCAGCAGTACATAGCAGCGACGGGAGGACCAGCGGCGTTAAACGCCGTGAACAGCATGTGTGTCACGGGACAAGTGAAGATGACGGCGTCGGAGTTTCATCAAGGAGATGAATCCGGCGTGAATCTTAAGAGCAACGACGAAATGGGTGGTTTCGTTTTGTGGCAAAAAGATCCAGATCTTTGGTGTTTGGAGCTCGTCGTCTCCGGTTGTAAAGTGATATGTGGAAGCAACGGTCGGCTTTCATGGCGACATTCCTCTAACCAGCAAACTCCTGCGTCCACCGGAACGCCAAGACCTCTCCGCCGGTTTTTACAGGTACAGATCCGGTTATTATATTTTTTGATGTAATACCCGGTTATCGAAATGTTGAACCGGTGGTTTATTTATTGTTGACTAATAAGGGGTTAGATCCTCGTTCGACGGCGAATCTGTTTCTTGACGCAACGTGCATCGGAGAGAAGATAATCAACGGTGAGGATTGCTTTATCTTGAAACTGGAGACGAGTCCGGCGGTTCGAGAAGCTCAAAGCGGTCCGAATTTTGAGATAATTCATCACACGATTTGGGGTTATTTCAGTCAAAGATCGGGACTTTTAATTCAATTCGAAGATTCGCGACTTCTGAGAATGAGGACCAAGGAAGACGACGATGTTTTCTGGGAGACTAGTGCTGAGTCGGTGATGGATGATTACCGATACGTTGACAATGTGAACATCGCTCACGGCGGGAAAACGTCGGTTACGGTTTTCCGGTACGGTGAAGCGTCGGCGAATCATCGGAGACAGATGACGGAGAAGTGGAGGATAGAAGAAGTTGATTTTAATGTTTGGGGACTCTCGGTTGATCATTTTCTTCCTCCGGCTAATTTGCAGATTGAAAAATGATTTAGCTTTTTATTAATATTTTGTTTTTGTCATTCGTTTTCGCCGATATCACAACTTTTTGACAAATATCATCAACTCACTCGGTGCAATTTTGACAATTTTTGTATTGAAATTTGCAATTTTTTACTACTCTACTGGATCGGACCCGTTGTGGTATAGTTTAAAAATGTATGGACGATAGCAATAGAACATATGAACATTTAAGTTTTGTTTTAGTGTGGTGACTATTTATTACCATACGTAAGTTTTTGTGATGCGAAAAGCCAATTTTTTTGTGGGAAAAAGTACAGAGGATTCACAATTATCATAGAATGCTGAGTTAGTTTTTGAGTCAAAAATCATTTTCTATCCAAAATGGTGACTATTTATTACTAGAAGTAAGTTTTAAGGTGTGACCGTGACGAGTCAATTCTTTTGTAGGACAAAACGATTTTTTTTTAAAGACAAAATGGAGCGAATTATCACAATCACCACAAAATGCTTCGAGTTAGTAACCATGACAAAAAAAAAGCATTTTTCTTTCCTAAATGGTGACTATTTATTACAAGAAGTAAGTTTTTGTGGTGTGACAAGTCAATTATTTTGTAGGACGAAACATTTTTTTTGTGAGACAAAATGGGGCATATTGTCACAAATCACATAATGACCTATTGGGAGTTAGTTTCCACGACAAAATGCGTTTTTCTATCTTAAATGGTGACTATTTTTTATTAGAAGTAAGTTTTTATGGTATGACAAGTCAATTTTTTTTTAAGACGCTCTTTTTGTGGGACAAAATGGGACGGATTGTATTAATGTATATAGTTCATTAGTATAGAGTTTTATATATGTTATGCTTTACTTAGCTTAATTGGAGTCTGTATAGGATGGTTAAGTCTGGTTTAGAGGCTTTGGTTTAGGCCTGATCAATTGTATATAAACCCACAATTGTACATTTTACTTCAATTAATGAGAATGAGATTATTTACTAATATGGTATCAGAGCGTAAACAAATCTCTCTCTAACAACTTTTCACGGCCATTTTCGCCGGAAAAGTTTGTTCTCCGTCGCTTCTGCTCAAATCCGATTCCGATCTTCGCTGTAGACCTTTTGCGACTTCCTCTCTTCCGATTCCTCGTCAGATCGAGCTCGATTTTAGCTTCTTTTGCTCTTTTTCAGCTCGTTGTTGGCTCTAATGGGAAAACGAAAGACGACCTCGAAGTATCGCGCATCTACACCAGATCCGCCGGAAATTAGCTCTCCGATCTCCAATACCAAGACTCGTAGCTCATCGCCGATGCGTGTTGCCGCTGGATCCACACATCAGCCAATCGCTACTCGATCTCGGTCTTCCTCTACTCCGTTTACGGTTTCGGACTCTCCGGATAACATTCACAGTCCTTTTCATCTTCATAGCTCCGATCATCCAGGTTTAGTTCTCGTTCCTGATCTCTTAGATGGAACCAACTATGGAACTTGGATTGTAGCGATAACGACTAGTATCGAAGCTAAGAATAAGTTTGGATTTGTGGATGGATCTATTGTTCGACCTGCTGAAGATGATCCTTACTACTTTATTTGGAAGAGATGTAATAGCATGGTTAAGTCATGGTTGCTGAATAGTGTATCGAAGCAGATCTACTCTAGCATTTTGTACTTTGCGACTGCAACAGAAATCTGGAAAGATCTACACACTCGATTTCACAAATCAAATCTTCCACGGCTTTACAAATTGCGTCAACAGATTCATTCACTTCGTCAAGGTAGTATGGATTTGTCTACATATCATACTAAGACTCAGTCTCTATGGGAAGAACTCTCCAGTCTTCAGGTTAATGCAAGGAGTGTTGAAGATTTGTTAGCTGAAAGAGAAACCAATCGTGTTATTGATTTCCTGATGGGACTCAATAATACCTATGACACAGTTCTAAGTCAAATTTTGATGAAGAAGAGTCTGCCTACTCTGTCTGAGGTTTATAATCTGCTAGACCAAGATGACTCTCAGAGGTCAGCCTGTGTTCCTACTGGTGCTCTAGATTCATCAGCTTTTCAAGTCTCACAGCAGTCTACTCAGAGCTTCCCTTCTGGTAATTACCAATTTCAGAGAAAAGATAAACCTATCTGTACTTTCTGTGGTAAGACAGGACATGTCATGGACAAATGCTACAAAAAGAATGGATATCCAGTTGGTCATCCTCGTTTTAAGTTCTCAAGATCTCCTTCTGCAGCAAACGTCACAGCTGATGGTATTGTTGAGGTTCCTGCAGTTGCTGATAATGTCAAGCTGAGTGATGATCTTTCCACAGAACAAATGCAGAAGATAGTTTCCTTTCTCAACACCAAAATCCATAGCTCTACTATCACACCTGAAGTTCATGCTGTTTCAGTGTCTTCCTTGCCTTCTTCCTCTTCCACTGGCCCAACACCTGGTACCTTTTATCCTTCTATCATTTGTTCTTTTACCAGTGTTGATAGGCCTTATACTTGTTCTACAAATAGCAATATCATAGCTATTAATGCTTGGGTTATAGACACAGGAGCCACTAACCATATCTGCCATGATAAATCTTCCTTCTCCACTTTCAAAACTATTGAAAACACCAATGTCAATCTTCCTAATGGTGGTCTAGTGAGCATTGTTGGAATAGGAACTGTTCATTTGGGTAGACATTTAGTGCTTCATGATGTTCTTTTCATTCCCCAATTCAAATTCAATCTTCTTAGTGTCAGTTGTCTAACTAAGTCTATGGGTTGTAAAATCTGGTTTGATGAAACTTCTTGTGTCCTTCAGGATCCTTCTCGGGACTTAATGATTGACTTGGGTAGACAGGTGGCTAATCTCTATTTTCTGGATATTCAATCCATTGATCTGCCTATAAATAAGGATTCTATGGTAGCAGCCTCTGTCATTTCTCATGATCTCTGGCACAAACGGTTAGATCACCCTTCTTTTTATAAACTTCAGTCTCTTTCTACTCTTTTACAGTTTAAAAAAGAACCAAAAATCCAAAAAGATTTTCATTGTAAAACTTGCCATTTGGCTAAACAAAAACATATTCCTTTTATTTCTCATCAAAATATTTGTAAGACTCCTTTTGAATTAGTTCATATAGATACTTGGGGTCCCTTCTCTACTCCCACTCATGATGGTTTTAAGTATTTCTTAACCATTGTTGATGATCATTCTAGGGCTACTTGGGTGTATCTAATGAAAAATAAATCTGATGTCTTACACTTATTTCCTGCTTTCCTTAGCATGGTAGAAACTCAATTTGAGACTAGAGTTAAGGGGGTTAGATCTGACAATGCTCACGAATTCAATTTCACTCAGTTATACCAATCTAAAGGCATCATTTCTTATCATTCATGTCCTGAAACCCCACAGCAGAATTCTGTTGTAGAAAGAAAGCATCAGCACATTCTTAATGTTGCTAGATCTCTTCTATTTCAGTCACATCTCCCTCTCTCTTATTGGGGAGATTGTATTCTTTCTGTTGTGCATCTCATTAATCGTCTCCCGGCTCCTGTGCTAGAGGATATCAGTCCTTTTGAGGTTTTAACAAAGAAAACTCCTAACTATGCTGAATTGAGAGTTCTAGGATGTCTTTGTTATGCATCAACCTCTCCCAAGAATAGACTTAAGTTTGATCCCCGAGCTCGTGCATGTGTTTTCCTTGGTTATCCTTCCGGATACAAAGGATATAAACTACTTGACTTGGAAACTAATGATATTTTCATTTCCAGACATGTAGTTTTTCATGAGGAGCTCTTTCCTTTTGCTAAGCTTGGTCTTTCACAAGAATCTAAAAATTTCTTTCCTGACCTTCTTAGTACTTCTCCTATGTCTCCTATTATATCTGCTGAGGATACTTCTATATCCTCATCTTCCATAGAAACTATGCCTTCTGCTAGTTCTATAGATGTCCCTGAACCTTCTGTTCAAACATCACATAGGAGAATTAAAAAACCAGCTTACCTTCAAGATTACTACTGTCATTCAGTAGGATCTTCAACCATACATGAAATTGCTGAATTCCTTTCTTATGATAAAGTGTCAGCGCTTTATCTTTCATTCTTGGTTTCCATAGACAAAACAAAAGAACCCTCTACCTACACTGAAGCAAAATAAATTCTTGTGTGGCGTGGAGCTATGAATGATGAAGTTGGTGCTTTGGAAACTACCCATACATGGGAAATCTGCAGCCTACCTCCTGATAAAAAGCCAATTGGTTGTAAGTGGATTTTTAAGATCAAATACAACTCTGATGGAAGCATAGAGAGGTATAAGGCTAGGTTGGTTGCTAAAGGCTACACTCAACAAGAAGGAATTGACTTTAATGATACTTTTTCACCAGTCTGCAAACTTACATCTGTGAAGCTCATCCTTGCTGTTTCTGCCATTTATGGGTTTACTCTCCATCAATTAGATATCTCTAATGCTTTCTTGAATGGGGACCTTGATGAGGAAATATATATGAAGCTTCCTCTTGGATATGCAGCAAAACAGGGGGACTCTCTTCCACCCAATGCTGTTTGCAGATTGAAGAAATCTTTATATGGCTTGAAGCAAGCCTCTCGACAGTGGTTCTTAAAGTTCTCTGTCACTCTTACTGGTTTGGGTTTCATTCAATCCCATTCTGATCATACATGTTTTCTCAAAATCACCACTGAACTCTTCTTTTGTGTTTTGGTGTATAATGATGACATTATTATTGCTAGCAATAATGATGCTGCAGTAGCTAATTTGAAGTCTCAGCTCAAGAACTGTTTCAAGCTCCGTGATCTTGGTCCTCTCAAATATTTTCTTGGTCTTGAAATTGCTAGATCTGCTGCTGGCATTCATGTTTGTCAAAGAAAATATGCTTTGGATCTTTTGGATGAAACAGGTCTATTGGGCTGCAAACCTTCAAGTATACCCATGGATCCTAGTGTCAAGCTTTCCAAAGATTCTGGTGGAGATCTTGTTGATGCTAAGTCTTACAGACGTCTTATTGGTAGACTGATGTATCTCCAAATCACACGGCCTGACATCACCTTTGCAGTCATCAAACTCAGTCAGTTCTCTAAAGCTCCTAGACATGCTCACCAAAAGGCAGTCTACAAGATTTTACACTATATCAAAGGGACTATTGGCCAAGGTTTGTTTTACTCTTCTAAAGCTGAACTTCAACTTCAAGTATTTGCAGATGCAGATTGGGAATCTTGCCTAGATACAAGACGCTCTACCAATGGTTA